AAACTCTGCCAAAAATCTTGTACAAGGTTACAAAACCAAAAAAGATGTATAGTAGATTCCTTGGAAGTTTTACAAAAGCTACAGCTTGTATCAATGTCTAATTTGAATTTGCTTTAGTGACATCCCTTTCTCTTTGATGGAGGATGCTTCCGGCTGCGCGAAGTTTGCTGGGAGCTGTAGTACGCTGCACCAGGAAGTCCATTTTTGATCTAATCAATAATTCGATTAAAGGAGCAGGAAACCAGACAGATATTCTTTTTAATTTGATTGTCTTAAAAGTCTGAAAATAAAACATCACATAAACCAGAGGAGTCGTTCTTCTAAAAATGGATCTGATTGGTCTGTTACATTCAGCATCAGTGATGTGACTGTCAACAGATTGGTTGCAGACATCAGCTGATTTATTTCCACCTGGGAGGCTTTAGGTTATTATCACCTGAGAGCAGCGTGCAGGTATAGCTCTGCTGGTTCTCAATCTGAGAGCAAAGACCCACAGCTGGCCTCAAGGTAACTGTCGGTCCCACGTCCTCTGTGCTTTTACTTTGACAGTGCTAAGAGGAAGTGGGTGTTTCATTTTTCAGCTGGTATCAGGCTGAGGGTTTTACCAGTGTGAGCAGCAGTGTCTCATTTGCCCTGTATTGATCAGCGATCGTGATGGCTAAGTGGGGTGAAGGAGACCACCAACGTCAACAACTGGCACTGGTCTGTTCATCTTCATCAATGCTACCATCACTGCAGTACTCATTATACTACTATTATTATTATTACTACTACTTATTTATTGTAATAAATATAAACTGGTCCATGTGGCAGACAGACAGACTGATGAAGGTAGAATTCAGGTAATGCTGTTACTATAGAAGTTGCTTCAGCTCAGTGATAGAAAACGCGCAAGAAGGTCAGTCATGTGACATGCTGAGGCCCCTCTTCATGTGTGTATTCAAGCTTTTGAGTAACAAAAGTTAATTTTTGAGTCTTTGGGGCTTCCTGCAGGTAACTGAGGGCACTGGCCTCATTTCCATGGTAACAGCCTGAATGTCATGACTGAGTAAGAAGAGGACATTTCCAGAATGATCTCAGTGTGTATGTGATACTGTAGGATGAGCTATTTTAGACTCTCAGTGTGTGTTATGTGAGCCGCAGCTGGTTCAGCACATGTTTGGAGGTATTTTTGAACTCTGTGATGTCAGAGGTGGGCGTGATTTGGTACCCGCTGACCCTCCTCTCTCCCCTGGTCAGGACAGAGCGAGATGTGTCCTCCTGGTCCTCGGAGTGCCTCCATCGGTTGCTGCTCGGTGTGCAGGTGGAGGGACCTGAGGGTGTCTGCCATCTGACCGAAGTCACTAAGCTGGAGGGAGAAGCTTCCATCAATAACCGCAAAGGGAAGCTTTTCTACTTCTACGAGTGGCAGCTGAGACTCAGCTGGCTGGGTCAGTGATCTCACTGATGATGTCGTCCATCCATTCATCATGGGAGACCATCTCAATTTGGTTCATGTGACTGACTTTAACCTTCACGTAGATGCTGTAGATATGGGGTCTCAAACTCACAACCCAGGGGCTACTTGCTGCCCCATATATTGACAGTTTGATCCTTGAAGTGACTTTTTTTTGTTAAAATAAGTTATTTAAGAAGCCAAAAATGATTTAATATGAAGGCAATATGAGCAGAGAGTACAAATATGCTGAGGGATTGGCTCTGTTAGTTCAGTGAGAGAGTCAAAAACTAATGTGTACACTTATGTCTGCATATTTGTTAAATATGAACAAAATGATAGTAGAAGTGCTGCCATGTGTCTGGCCAGGTAGAGAGTACTGATGTGTTTATTTGGTGGTTCAAGTGGCTTCAGTTAAGAGTGAGAAAAAAACGTTTTGTCTTGTTATACAATATTTGAAATTTAAAAATACAACACTACATTTTAGAAAATATTTGTGGGTGTTTTCTTATTTGTTTGTTTTGTATTACTTGAACACTGAAGTGGCCCTCCAATAAGATGACAGTGCCAGCAGTGGCCCATAGCTCATTTAGGTTTGAGACCCATGCACTAAACCTTTTAGCCAAAGTTCTTCTAGAAGCACGTCGCACAACGTGGCAGCTATCATGATGATAACTCTCGGAGCATGTTTGAGCAGTTATTTTGAAATATTATCAGCGTTAACCCTAACTTCAGTGGTCACTGGGGAAAAACTGTAAAGAATCTCCATTGTGAGTGTTGAATAGTCAGGTGTTCATGCTTTACTTTTATTGAGCAACAAATTATTTTTCCTGGCTAAATGAAGATCTTCTAAATCAGCAAGACACCATCTCCTCTTTAGCTCACAAGTTATCTGGTTGAAAATGCACATTATTCATTTATACCAGGGAGTCAAGTGCTTTTGATTTCAGTCAGGTAACACTTTAAACAAGATAATCAATCTCTATGGGAGTAGATTTCAAGCAGTGGCTCTGCATTGTGTTGGCACATGGTATTGAAAAAATATAAAACTGAAGAGTTCTTCCCCACTGCTGTGTAAGCCATTATTGTAAACCAGGAGTCTTTGCTGATGATATTAATTATAACTACTAAATCTACTCTTATCCTGAATGAAAGGTTTCATTTTGACTCAGTGTCACCCGCTCTGGCCCTTGGAATACATTTGACTATGACTGCCAGAATCTCTAGCCACGTGTACAGCAGGGATTTTAACATAGGGTTGCTCTTTTTCTGTAGTGCCAACTGTTTTCTGTGTGCAGGGATGTCCTGCAGGGGAGTGAAGTTCAGAGGAACTATTGATGTGTCCAACCTGTCTGACGAAAATGACGAGGACGACCTGGATGTGAGTTTGACTTCTGATTCTGATCACATACCCTGCAACCCAGTGATGACTGCACAGATGACATATTGATAATTATGTTGCTATCCAGATCTGCGTGGCTCTCTGTAAAGACCAGCCCAACACACCTCTCCTGGACCTCATGAAGACCTCCGGCATCCAGGAGTATCGCAGGGTTCTGGGCAAGTATGTCCGGCGGCTCAAATCAGGTTTGTTACCTAGAAGACATCAGGCAGTTTCTGACCATAAGGAGTTTTTAGAACTGTTCGTGGGTGTCTCCTCTGTGTCTCTTAAGTAGATCGGTCAGTAACTATCAAAGCCTTTTAGGGGTGGGTCTAAACAGGAAAAAGCTAGAAGTAATGTGGAAACTTGAAACCATTAAAGTTCTGTGAAATTCAGCAGTGAGAGGTGGGTGGGTCCAGGCTTGAGATAATAGTTGGAAGTGAATACCAAAGTGTTAAGAATACTGCTGATATGAGGGGGTGAGTTACTGAGACAACCAGAGTCTACAATTAACTCTAGCACCCAGCAATCCTGTCAGAGTCTGGCTGAGGCAGACTGTATGTATTGCGAAAAAGAACTCAAATGCAGACCAAAACAGAATGTGAAACGTGACATGGAATAACAAAACCGAGCCGTTTATTAAGGCTGGCAAAGAAGTACAAAACAAAAGACAAAGGTGAAACTAAACAATAAACTAAACTGGGTGAATTAAGATTAAAGCATGAAAAAACCTTCAACATGAAACCTGGCATGGAGACATGGAAAAAAAACCTGGATGCATGACGTGAAAACAGCAGACGACCTGACAAGAAATGACTGAAAACACACAGACTAAGTACACACAGGAGGATAATGAGGGAAGTTGAAACACATGGGGAAACAAGTGAGGATAACGACATCATAGGGGAAACGTAAAGCTAAACACATAGAACACAGGAACACAGAACCTCTTCAAAATAAAATGGGAAAGATAATGAAACGCAGATGTGACAACATGAACTTGACAACAAAAGACATGAAGACATGAAACACATAAAGGACAAGGGATACTTAATACAGGGGTTGAAAACTTAAAGGGAAACTAATAAACAAATTACCTTAGAAAACCCAATGAACTTAAACATAAACCATAAACATCCAAATTAACAAAAACTCAAAACGCTGGGTAAAAAGACCCAGGATTGTGACACATCCACTACAAATGCATGTGAGCAAAACACGTTAAATCTAAGTGGAGCTTTAGTACTCTGTTTTGAGCTTCTCCTGGTGGTTGGAACGTTTGTAGTTTCAGCCCTCAGCAAGCCATTACTCTGAGACAGTCCCTAAAACGCTTCATTATGAAATTTACACCTGTAAAGATCAGCCAGGGAGATGACCCATGGGGTAACTGTGACCTCTGATCCCACAGAGTTTGGTCAGGGAATGATTCTTCCCACCACCAACGCACTGAAGCAGCATTCATCTGTGTCGACCAAGAAGAATGGGGTTAAGACCAATAAAACCCAAGTAGGATGCTCCTCCTGTCCTGACTTAGCTCCTGTTCAGCCTCACTGTTGAAGTGCTGACCTTTGATTTTTCTGTGTTGTCCTGCAGATTAGCCCCGCCCCCAAGTGGTCCTCCAGTACCGCCCCCTGTCCCACAGGTGATCGTAACCAAACCTGCAGTTTCGATCTGAAAGAAACATTCCAGACCAACGCTCATGAACTCTACAGGACATTCATCAGCCAAGAGGTACTCGAACAGACTAGGAAGGACCAGACGAAATCAGAACAGACCAAGAAAGACAAGAACACGTTATAAATGACGCCCTATGAAAGACCCTGTTCAATTTATCTAAATGAGTCATGACCAGCCAGCAAGAAAAACTTTGTTTGATTAAAATCAGGTCAAATCTAGGCTAAAAATTGGTGTCAGACTTTTACGAGTTCAGTATGAATCCTAGGCCTGAAACTGACTGAAACCAGACAATGAAAACACAAATACAATTAACCAGGTGATCAGAACTGGGCCCCGGCATTACCTGAAATTAGGCCAATCTCAGACTAGTAAGGTTCTTTTTATACCACTGACATCTCTGTGCAGTTCATGCAGGTATTCACACGCTCATCAGCGTTGGTGGACAGTTGCTGTGGGGGGAAATTCCAGTTGCTGGACGGGAGCATCAGTGGACAGTTCACACAGCTGGTGAGGTCACAGCTGCCCAATCACTCACACATTAGCAAAGCTGTACCATGACGGAATGGTAAACCAGACTGTGCCCCTCCCCACAGGTGCCAGACAAGAGGATTGACATGAAGTGGCGGTTCAGGACATGGCCCAGCAGTGAGTCTTCCTATTAGGATGTGATGCATTCATGTTTTTCTGCTGCTGCTTTCAGGGACACTCTAAGCTCTCTGGACTTTCTCTAGACCACCATGCCTCCGTGAGCCTAGAGCTGGATGATCGAGGAGACGACACAGAACTGAGGTTGGAGTGCCGAGGAGTCCCTTTAGGAGAAGAGGACTCCACCAGAGAGGGCTGGATCCGCTTCTACTTCCGGGCCATCAAGCAGACATTTGGATACTGAGAGACTCCAAACCCTGGAACTCATCTGACAGACCGAGAGGAGGTGGTGGTTAGAATGAACTGTTAAAGGAACAGTAACACAATTCCTGTATCAAGGAGGCACCATGTGACTCCCAGACTAAAAGGAACAATGTACCCAAGAGGTTCCAATCAAAGACTTTAAAATCTTCTTTTAAGCTTTGACTTGGGATGTTAATAAACAACTTCTCTCCACTCTGTGTTTGTCCTGCTGCTGTCAACATGGTGCAACATTTTAACGTCAATCATGCATGCAGTACAGTTCCTTCTGTTTTTTCTCTTTAGTTTAACTTTTTCTTACTTATTTCTTTGTCCTTTACTTTGTACTTAGAGTGTTCGTCTGTTTTAATAGCTTTCCTTTCAATCATGTGAATTGCGAGAGTTTTGGTTCTGCTTGTGACCGCGCAAGTGTTACTTTTATTGAGGAATGGGACCGTGGCACAGCTCCTACACACAGCACGGATGGTTTACTCCAGAGATCAGCTGATCGCCCTGATGCCAGCCAGCTTTTCAGTCCTCAGACCCACAGAAGTACCAGCTGAAATCTGGAGGAAAACACACTGAGGATGCAGAGATGGAGGACAGAAGAAGAGAAAGAAGGAGACAGCAAGGCTCAAAGAGAGAAGAAGATGCAAACCGTGTCTGCCACCTATTATAATCAGGAGTGTTCGGTCACTAGCAAACAAGATGGATGATGTAAAAGCGCTAGCACAGAGTCAGAGGGAGTACTGGGAGTGTAGCTTGATGTGTTTCATTGAATCAGGGAAGCACCAGGATATTCCCGATGACAACGCATCCGTGAATGGCTTCCACACTGTTTGGGCTGACCGGGACAGTGCAGCGAGTGGGTAACCCTGCTCACATAACAATCAAAGAACAGATTTGTTGTCCGGACATTGAACTGTGCGCTGTTGGACTCAGGTCGTATTATTTGCACAGGGAATTTACCCTTCTGAACTTGGAGCCTGTTTACATTCCCTCTGCCAACCCCACAGCTGCGTCTGACACTATCCGCTCTGCCATAGCCCAGTTACAGACTTAGCACCTGAGTGCCTTCATTGCAATCTTGGGGAACTTCAACCATGTGGGTGGCTGTAGCTCAGGTGGTAGAGCAGGTCATCTACTGATTGGAAGGTTGGTGGTTCGATTCCCGGCTTCCCCTAGTCTGCATGCCAAATATCCTTGGTTCACCCCGGAGGACTACCGGAGGCAATTTCGGGCTAGTCAGATGTCAGCGGGGGAGCAGCCGTTCACTTGGGCTCGACAGCTGGAGGACACGGCGGCGAGCTGGCTGTGTCCGGGGCCAACACTGGCGGAGGACCAACCTGCCGGCAGGACCGCCGCCGGTACTGCGGGCAGGGGGGGGGCCCTCAGAGCGTCAGCTGCTGTTGTCTGCAGCTCAGGGGAGGGGAGGCGAGATCAGCAGGACGGAGAGAGGCATGTCGCATCCCATTTTGGGCACAGTTCCACAGCTTACTGGGGTAATAAACTGGGTGAAATCGCAACCAGTTAATTTGTGTAATGTTTGCCCGGCACTTAGCAGTGACACTGGGTCGACTGATACTGATTCTGGGGGGGAGGAGGTGGCGGGAACCTCTACAGAGGCCCCACTGCCTCCGGTTATGCACCTCACAGAAGATTTTTCCCTAGAGCAGTCTCGGGATGACACCCTACGCTCAGCCTATGATCAGGTGATAGATATTGATGGTCTGCTGGTGCACCCTGAAGCCTCGCGGACTTACACCCATTTCCAGTTACGGAACGATCGGCTTTATCGAGTGAGTCTTGACACTCGCACGAATGAGATCTGCACCCACAACCCAGTTGTTGGTGCCACAAAGCCGCCGGGAAACATTTTCCAGGCGGCTTATTCAAACCCCATGGCAGGGCATTTAGGATGCAAGAAAACTCTGGAGCGCATAATGGCCTAATTCTATTGGCCGGGTATTTGGGCCGATGTGCGCCGCTGGTGGTGCCCAGAATGCCAGCTGGTTAACCACCCAGTCATTCCAAAGGAATGCGCCCATTACCGTTGATGGAGATGCCGTTTGAGCGCATTGGTATGGATATCTTCGGGCCATTCCACCGGAGTGCACGCGGCTATCGCTTTGTGTTGGTGCTGGTGGTTTATGCAACGTGATACCCGTAAGCAGTACTGCTGCACACCATTTCAGCAAAGAGTGTGGCCCAGGCATTGTCTTGCGAGTCGGTATTCCGAAAGAAATGCTGACTGACCAGACCACGTCGTTCATGTCTCGCACTCTGAGGGAGCTATACAAATTACTGGACATTAAATCTATTCGGACCAGTGTCTAATACCCTCAGACTGATGGAGCGGCTGAAAAAGACTTTAAAGTCCATGATTCTTAAGTTTATTCACGAGGATGAACGAAATTGGGATCAGTGGCTAGACCCCAGGCCTCCATGGGATTTTCTCCCTTTGAGTTACTGTATGGCAGGTAGCCGCAAGGGGTGCTCGACTTGATTCAAGACAACTGGGAGGAAGGGTCGAGCCCCGCAAAGAATAAAATTCAATACGTGCTGGGCCTGAGAGCAAAGCTGCACAGGTTGGGGTGGTTATCACGGGAGAATTTACTCCAGGCCCAGCAACATCAGCAAAGCTTGTACAACAGAGGGGCTAGGCTCAGGCAATTTTCACCAGGAGACAAAGTGCTTGTATTACTACCATTCTCCAGCTCGCCAAGTGACGAGGGCCCTTTGTGGTCACACAGCGAGTGGGGTCGTTGACTATGAGGTTGACCAGTCAGACAGGAGAGGAGCGACGCAAATTTACCACCCCAACCTCCTTAAAGCATGGAGGGAGGCTGAAACCACTGCTCTGTTGAGCCTGGTTAAGGAGAGAGATGAGTGTGGGCCGGAGGTGCCAAATTCCACCATCCCCGCCTCCCTCCATTGTGATGACCACTCACACAGGCCCAGAGAGCAGATGTTGCTGCACTGCAACAGCGCTTTGCTGATGTGTTCTCCCCCTGCCCGGTCGAACGTCTCTCATAGAGCACCATATTGAGACACAGCCTGGCATGACAGTGGGTTCATGGCCCTACAGGCTCCTGGAGCAGAAAAGACAAATTGCTGAATTGCAGAATTGAACAATATGCTGAGGCTAAAAAGTAGCCCCATAGTTATATGATATATAAGATATATGCCCATAGTTCTTGTGGTGAAGAAAGATGGGTCTATACGGTTCTGTGTGGACTACCGCAAGGTGAATGAGGTGTCACGTTCGATGTGTACCCAATGCCCCAGGTCGACGATCTCCTGGACTGGTTGGGCACTGCTTGTTTTTTCACGATGCTGGATTTAAACAAGGGCTACTGGCAGCTTCCCTTGTCTGCAGAGCAATCTTCCCTCTAAGCTGCACGCGTGTGCAATCGCACACTGCTGGCACGGTCTCTGCTCACAGAAAATCTGCATTGCGCACAAAAAAAAAAAAAAAAATCGAACCTGAATTGAAATTAAAATAAATACTTTGTGGCTGCCGTCAGCAGCAGTTATGCAATTTGAGACAATTTTATGGTTCAAGTTACAATGAATAAGTGAAATACCTTATTGTTAATATATGTGCGATGTAATGTATGTTGTTGGTGTAAATACATTTACAAGGGTTTACAGAATGTTTCCGGGGTGGAACCAATGTTTAGTCTGTTGTTTGAGGTCGACGGTATATTCTGGTACACGCTACACTCGGTAGAGTGCAGCATGCTTTTCGTCTCTCTCTGGTGGTGGTAGAGACATGTAGACGCATGCAACGGAGTGTTCGACTATGGGAAAGAGTGACACTACAAGAAGCGTTTCATTTAACCCCTGCAAGTTAATGCGGCCAATGAGGTATGCAATTTGTATATGTTGTGATAGAAAATAAGATGTTTGTTTGTGATAGAGCGAGCGAGTTTATGGTAACCACGTGTATATGCTAGCATTTTGTGAAGGTAAATTGTAAGCATTTGTGTTGTTTAATGATGTACCTTATTGTTTATTCTCTATGAGAACAATGTACGGTGGAAATTGATTATTTTATGTTGTTGTACAGTTCTCACGGCATCGTTACGGCATCTCTGGTGGCATCGTTGGTGGCGCCCGTGTGCAATAAATGCCAGTAAATCAAGAACGCCTTGTGTTCGTTTTTCAACTTGGAGGGAGTTACAGTGAGAACTCAGTCTGCTCGGCATGAGGCGAGGAGACGAGTAGCGGTGTCGTCATCCACTGAGCAAGAAGAAATTCATCGCACGCTAGCATCAGACAGATAAGACTATGCATATGCCAGTAACCTAAGCAGCAAGCAGTTGAAGTTTACATGGACGATCCTTCAAGTGATACATTTAAAACAAGTTAAATGTTAAGAAGTGGATCAACCTTGTCAACTGCTTTAAAGGAACACTGTAAGAACTGAAAGTAATCTGGTGTTCTGCATATTTCCTTTCTAAGTTCATGGTTCTGTCTAAATAAGATTTTTTTTATAGGTGAAGTCATTTTACCTATTTGTGTTATTTTGATGCTAGAAGTGTTGTAGAATTAAGTGCTGCGTCGTATGTGTTGTTGGTTTAGGAACAAAGTTCACCATATTTATACGACTCAAGATGGTATTCATTCAGATATTTTATTAAGGTTTAAGGTGTTGTAAAATCTTGAAGGTATTGTCCATTCTTGATGTTTTGGACAAGTTCACCTAAAGACAAGGTTAAGCTTGTAGCTATTAATATTTCAGGCAATTGAGCTGGTCTGTTGTTAAACCGCATGTCTGTTAAAGGTATAGCTAGAATTTATTTTGTGCCAAGTAATAAGTAAACATCGCAGAATGGATCAAACAACTGAATATGAAACTAAGAATGGCGACTTACTTGAGGATAGTAGTGCCACAAATGTACAGCAGTCACGTGAAGAAGAGCCACGAAGAAGTCAAAGACCTCGGCAGCTTACTGAAAAGGCTCAGCAACTGCATGATGATAAGTCAAAAAAACTTCAGCATCGTTTCACTACAACTTATGATAAATGGAAAGCAAACGCCAAGCAAGCTAAGAAAATGATAAAGGGAGCCCCCTCTGTTGAGGTTGTGAAGGATTTGATGTGTAAGTTAAGTTGTGCATCAGCAGATGTGAAACACGCATATGA